TGCTTCAGATCTGCAGTCGGGTCCAGATCCAGCGGGGTAAGTTCTGAAAAAGCTGCTCCAGCCTTTATTTAACTAAAACAAAAACAATGGAAGTGTCTGCAGAGATTCTTCTACATAGGTCCCTGTGTCTCTATATTTTGTGAATATTTAATATATTTCAGTTTTAGTATTTTCTGTTGTAATTTTACTTTGTTTGGTCTGCAGTGTTCTTTGTATGTAAATGATGCTGCCCTGCTGTAGAGTGATTACCTGAGCCTCACCACAAGCACTTCAATGCATGAATGTCCTGACATGTTGTGCAAATGACAAATAAACTTGAAACTTGAGTGGAAGAGCATTTGTGTCAGCTGCTGACTGATGTCACGCTGAAGGCAATTTGCGCTTTAAAATTAGTGCTTTTCCCAGCCGCTTTCAGTGGAACAGTTTTTATGCCCTTTATTGGTAGGGAGGTTGGTAGGGGGTTGTGGAAAACGTCTACAGAGTGCAGATCACGTCGACACATCTGGTTCATATCTTGGCCCTACCTGCAGCATCTGACTGTATGCAGGGTGGGCTGTCTAGTGAATAGAACTGAAATGATTCAGTCATTATGATCCATTTTTAGCCTTTTTGATTATGTGGTTTAAATTTACAGCACATTTTATTTTTAAATGTTATGCCCATATTATTGTATTCTCTCCCCCCTTTACAGTCTCCACTATTGTAGACCCACAGACAACATATTTTATTCAGAAAACTTAGTTAATAAAATAAATGCAATGAAGAATCAAAATATAACACACAGATTTGGAATGTTTGTTTTATTTCCTGTTAGCATTAGTTAAAAAAAAGTATGTGTATATATATATATATATATATATATATATATATATATATAGGCCAGAAGGTGTATTTGAGCACAAAATATACAATTTTAAATTCTGCTAAATACATCAAAAATGAAGTGTTTGACAACAGGGTCTTTAACATAGTACAAAATAACAGAACATAGATGTATTTTCATATATAACGAAAAGAATATATACAAAGCCTTCTACAATTATTGATCACCTCATATTTATACTCCAGTAAACCAGGTGATAGATGGCTAATTCTCATCTCAAGACTCAAGTGTATATAGCTGGTAAAGACCAGTATTTGACCAGTAAAAACCAGTAAAGGAAGAGTAACTCGGCCACAACGTCCAGTAAAAACGTTCATCCAATGTCCATATATAATTGTACATAAGTAAAATCCTGTGGAGATGCTTTCCCCTGATGTTCTGTATCAGAGACCATCCCTAACAGCCGTTTAACGTAAGACAGAGCTGCACTCAAGTTCAGTTCTGCCCTGCGTCCCGAGATACTTAACACAAGTTCCTGTTAGATTTATTTAACTTAGTCTCCTCATCATTTCCATCAACACTACATTTCCACCAGTGACTTATTTTAAATGCACATGTAGCCATCAGCTCAGCTACACTAGTAAAATACCTGGAAGGTTGGATTGTGTTCCCTCTTCCAAATAATTAATAACCATGCTCAAATCTTGTTCATGGGGTCATGTTTACCACTTTGTTTCATCACCTCTTCTTTAAACAACTGTAGTGGGACAAGGCCTCAAAAGCACCTAATTTCCCACTTACCATAAGACACAGTTATTTTAATTAAATTCAAGTGAGGGCTTGACCATGGTCCAGGGAACAGAGCCGAATTGAAGTTTTTCATATGCACACCGTGACAGAGATGACTGTAATAAAGGGTTATTTATTGATAGAGGTATATAAACACAAAGCAATCGATTACAAAGGTATATAGGTACTAAATATTGGATTACTAGTTATGGAAAGAAACCAGAGATATTGAATATACTGAACAAAATTATGTGATTTTCCAAATTATGTGGCTTTTGAGCAGCAAGCAGAACAACCCTAACACTAGTGTAAAGCTGGGCTAAGTGTCAATAAAGGAAAGCAAATCACAGTGAGGCTGAGACCACAAAGGGCAGTGCGAGTGAATCTACGACCTGGATGCCTCAGAGCTGCGGTGATGCGCGTGTCGCGTTGAGGGGAAGAGAGGCCGCTGCTGGCATGGGCTGGAGCAGGGTCCGCAGGTCAAAGGTCAAAGCTGCTGGACGCCTCAGAGCCGAGTTGATGCGCGTGCCATGTTGAGGAAGAGGAGCTGCTGCTCACACAGGCTAGGAAGGGTCTGCAGGTCGAAGGCAAGGCCGCTAGAGATGCGAGCCCTTGGTCGACGATTTGGACTGGCAAGGCAGGCTTCTTGCAATGCTTGGCGGCCTCTCCGGTGAGGAGCGCAGATCTTCTTCTTGGTGATGGAGGCAGGCGGTGTTCGGAGCAGGCTCTTGATGTGGATCTTAGTCAGCACTGTTTTGCCTCTGTTTCTGCTCTAAAACTAGGTTCTGAGCGGCCTGTCGTCGGCAATTAGACTTTCAAAATAGATTGATGAAACTTGAAAAACAAACGCAGCCAGATGCAGCTCTTCAATAGTCTAACCTTACAGTTACAACACTAAGATTACTGAGTAAATTAAACAAAACGGATTAAGACACAAGACAAACATCGAACCTTTAAGATCTGCAGAACTTAGCTAAAGTGCAAAACGAGGAGAACGGGCTTCTCTACTTGGAGTTTCGTTAAGGTTACATGTTGGCTGTCTCGCTCCCTTCAGGGCCAACTTTCCCTGTCCTTCTGTTTCTTCTTCTCGTTCTCCTCACTGTTTCTCTTTCTTGCTAACTTTAAAGAAAGAACTTTGAGGGGCGGGGCTAAGGCGGGGAAAAGGTTTTGGTTAGTTTGTTAGGTTACCTATAATGAATATGCAATTTCTTTGAATGCTGCTCAAGTGTCACATAATCCTTTGGAGATTCTGGGTGTGGTTACACTTAAGTAAAAGAAGCATGCAATTTCTAATATAAAACATTGTATTGTTTCCATAGTGACTATTACATTGTATTGTTTCCATAGTGACTATTACAAATGACTATGGATCTTACAGATCATTATCCCTTAACGTTAACCATGATATGGTTACATACAATAAGTTGAATCCTTAACCATTCTAGTCATACAAGAAGTAGGAACTACTTAGACAAAAGAACTAAATTGTTAAGACAATTTCGTGGTTATACGTCACATTACTATTTCTAAACAATGCTTACATGAACGGTTACATAATAACTCAGAGTAAAATAAGTGAATACGTAATCATCAATAATTCTGTAGATATGTTGGGTGAAACTCTATGATTAAAGTGTACATAGTCACACAAGCTACAAACTTTAGAATGCTACTTATAATAACACTACAAGAAGACTTGCAAGAAAAGTATATATATAGGATTAACAGTGATCACGAAACATATGGGTTGTTCCTCAAACAAAAGAAAAGAAAAAGTATATAATGGGTGGAATGAACATAGTTGTGAATGAACCTAGATCAGTGAAGAAGGGTTACAGTTCCCTTCGGCAGGGATTAATCAATTCACATCTGACAAGGCAACATGTTAACAGTAACAGAGGTGTTCTTCACAGTTTGATAAAGGAAAGGCATTTGATAGATACTTGATTAACGATCACATTGTGGATACTTTGCCAGAAAGCAGGGCTCTCAGGAGCCTCGACTGAAGGAATGCACTTAAGAGTATCTGGCCACACCGAGGGGTCTGCTCAGGGATCCGTGAGGTCTCAACAGTCCCCTCACCCAGAGTTGATTGGTGGGCCATCTTTGGCTTTTGTTTTAGGTTAGATGTCTCTCTTTGTGGGGGAAGGTGAGCTGTATGGGTGTGAGAGAGAGAGGGAAAGGAATTTTCAAAAGCCACAATTTATCAGTATCCCAAAATTTACTTCAGTGATGTCCAAAGGTCTGTTCAGGATGTTTATAAAGGGGTGGCATGACGTTCCATTATGTTGCCCTTAAACTGTTTCTTCAGACTTCTTCAGAGTCTTCAGACCTCTGGGTCAAAGTAGGTCTGTTCTGAGGTGAGACACCCCCCTCCCCACTTCTGCACCAGGTTGCCAAAGGGGGGGGGGCAAATGGGGGTTGTGAGACGTGTCTTTAGCAGTCAGCCATAAATTTACTATTGGTCCTTCTAAACATCCTGCTGCATACAGATGCAGATCTCACTTTGCTCAAAAAGTTCTGATCAGTTTATGAATTAAAAACAGCGAAGCACGCTACACAACACTCTGTAAGTGTTTGTGAACTGAGGAGACACTGCTGTAGTTTTGAAAGTGAAATGTTTTCTTGTTCTTGTTTCATACAGAATTTCAGCTGCTCATTAGTTCAGGGGCTCCTTTGTCATATTTTTCATTTCATAATGCAGCAAATATTATCAGTGGTGGCAGGTCAGTTTAGTACCTGGACTCTTTTAATACGGAGCAATGCTGCTGTAATACATGCAGAATGAGGTTTTACATTGTCTTGCTGAAATAATCAAGGCCTTCCCTGAAAAAGACGTTGTCTGGATGGCAGTATATGTTGCCAAAACGTATATATTGTTCAGCATTAATGGTGCCTTCACAGATGAGCACGTCATCCATGCCATGTGCACTAATGCCCCCCTATACCATCAAGAATACTGGCATTTGAACTGTGCACTGATTACAATCTGAGTGGTCAAATGTTGATTCGTCAGACCACAGGACACTTTTCCACTTCCACTCAGTCCATATTAAATGAGCTCAGGCCCAGAGAAGGCGGCAGCATTTCTGGATCCTGTTTATATATGGTTTCTTCTTTGCATTTTAACTTGCATTTGTGGATGCAGTGATGAACTGTTTACACAGACAGTGGTTTTCAGAAGTGTTCAGTGATGTAAAAGATTCATTGCAAGTTGTCGCAAATGTTTGACTGCAGTTGTTACTGCCAAGAGTGGCACAACCAGGCCTTAGGTTTATGGGGCAATTACTTTTTCACACGGGTGATATAGGTTTTGAGTAAATCTGTATCATCAATAAATGGAATGAACATTTAAAAGCTGCATTTTGCATTTGCTCATGTTGTCTTTATCTTATTTGGATGATTTGAAACACTTAAATGTGACAAATTAGCAAGAAATCTGGTGAGGGGCAAATACTTTTTCATAGCACTGTAAATGTAAAAACGTATATGTAATAATAATTCAATTAAATGGTCTTCAATGCAGGTTAAGTTGCTTTCAGTTTATCGGTGATCTCTGCATTTAGTCGTTCTTTATGCTTTTTAAGTTCTTTCAGTGTTTGTTTAAGATGATCAGCAGTTTTTCTCATTTCCTGAATGAACTTCACTACGTCTGATCTCTCGCTCCCATCTTTTCGCTCTTTGTCTATTTCTATGAGTTCTCTGGTGTCTTTGAAAATAAAGGCAATATCAAACAGGAGAAAAAGCCCAGAGATCACTCCTGTCATTGCTGCAGCTGCTCTCACAGTTCTAGATACCTGTGCTGCCACTCTGCCAATTTCAGCAACATTAACCAGCCGTATGAGTTCAGCTGCATGTCCTGCCCCTCTGGCTACTCCAAATATGCTTTGCATTTTCTGTGCGGATGATTCACTGAGCTCAATTTTTTGGATCTCTTCAAGCAGGAGCTTTATATCTTCCAGGCATTCGATAATAGGAGAAATTCTGCTCTGAAATGTTTTCAGAATTTCTTCTATTTCCCCTCGTAAGGTTCTCTGTCGAACCATGTCTGTGATGTTGGATGCAGCTCCTGTTATTCCACCAGCAACTGCAACTCCAATACCTACACCTGTCACGATCAGTGATGCACCCAGAGTAAATGGAGCCAGAATAACTCCTACAATCGAGGTGATTCCTCCAGCTGCCCCAATCACTCCCCCAGACAGGCTTCCAATGGTGGCGCTTCGATGAGTTTTCTCCAAATTGTCAGTTATTCCTGTCAGTTTTTTTATTAGGGCCTTGAGATCCGACACGTTGCTGTCAAAGAGTGAGGTGAATAACTGTATTTTTGCAATGAGAGATTTGTCTGGTGGGACACCTGGTGAGGACATTGTGCTCAACATCAGTAAATGTGCATTTTGTAGATAAAAAGATGGACGTTTCTGTTTAAATAATGAGAAAAATCTCACATTGTTCTGTAGAGGCAGGTTGATCCATGCTGCGATTTGAGCCAGTACTGTTGATGCTGTAACAGTCGCCTTCACAGTCAATTCTCCTGTACTCATTTGAACAGGCCATTTTGGAAGAGCTGTTTCTGCAGGTGATTCTGTTTAGTTGAGAGATGATGTTATTAGTGGTCTGTAACTAAACTGTCTTTCAAATGAATTTCAAATCAGATCCTTTTCTGTGTGCTGTGCAATAAAGCAGGACTTGCTGTTCTCCAAAACTGAACGTTTTATGAACAAAACAGGGAGTGTGTTTATCTCCCCTAGTAAGTACATAATTACATTTACTCAGTGTTCAACACACAATCTGTGAAACGAAATTTCCTGTTCTGGTTGTGAAGTTTGAATAAACAGGTTTATCATGGAATAAAATTTATATGCATTAGTAAAATCAGTCTAAATTGTTTTTTCCTGTTTGGAGCTGCTGTGATATAAAAGGTAAAATAGGTTGTCTTTTTAAATTATGAATTATGAAATATTAGAGCAGTTTGCCCACAGCACACTTAAGCACACTTGAGCTTCAGTCTAGTGGATCCTTCAGGGTATGTATTCTCCCACCCAAACAGGAAAAGAGTAACAACAGTTTTATTTATTAACTGACAATTACACTTTCCAGGATTAATAGCTGGATTAATTGTACCTGAGTAGTTGGAGTAATGTAGTTTAAGGAAAATGTGACTGACTGATTTGTACAGGATGATTGAACTGCGCAGTTTACGCATGCGGGTCATTTCAGGATGCCGGTTCGTTCACATTAATGACGGATTTGAATCACTTACCTAAACAAGTGTGAACCATCATGTCAGAGAGATCGGATTTGAGCAAAAAATCGGATTTGAGAAATGAGGCTTGTAATGTGAACGTAGCCTCAGTTGTTCTGAACAAAGTAGTTTAGAGCTGTTTGATATGGAAGAGAAACTTACCTTAGTGAAACTGTTCTTTTGATTTTCTTTCCAGTGGTGATGATGGGAATCAGGGGTCGAGACGTCTGCAACACAGATAAAGCCTTTTATTTGATGTGCATAACAACCTGTAAACCTACAAGTCTAATGATTGTTTATATGTATATTGATAATGGTGCAACAGTGTTAAATACAACCCCATTCCAGAAAAGTTGGGACGCTGTGCAGAATATAAATAAAAACAGAATGCAATGATGTGCAAATCATGTAAACCATCTTTTTAAAGGAAAACACTACAAAGACAACATATCAAATGTTGAAACTGAGAAATTGTATTGTTTTTTGAAAAATGCTTGGCCATTTTGAATTTGATGCCAACAACACATTCCAAAAAAGTTGGGACGGGGGCCTGTTTACGACTGTGTTTCATCACCTCTTCTTTAACAACACTGTGTAAGTGTTTGGGAACTGAGGAGACACTGCTGTAGTTTAGAAAGTGAAATGTTTTCCTGTTCTTGTTTGATACAGGATTTCAGCTGCTCCACAGTTCAGAGTCTCCTTTGTCATATTTTTCATTTCATAATGCAGCAAATATTATCAGTGGTGACAGATCTGGACTGCAGGCAGACTCTTTTAATTCAGCATTAATGGTGCCTTCACAGATGTGCACGTCACCCATGCCATGTGCACTAATGCCCCCGTATACCATCATGAATACTGGCTTTTGAACTGTGCACTGATAACAAGCTGAGTGGTCTTTAGCCCGGAGGACACAGTATACATGATTTCCAAAAAGAATTTCAAATGTTGATTCGTCGGACCACAGGACACTTTTCCACTTCACCTCAGTCCATTTTAAATGAGCTCAGAAGGTGGCGGTGTTTCTGGATCCTGTTTATATTTGGTTTCTTCTTTGCGTTTTAGGGTTTTAACTTGTATTTGTGGATGCAGTGATGAACTGTTTTCACAGACAGTGGTTTTCAGAAGTGTTTCTGAGCCCATGCAGTGATTTTCACTACAGAATCATGTCTGTTTTTAATGCAGTGCTGCCTGAGGGCCCAAAGATCACGACAAGCAAATACTGGTTTTTGGCCTCGTCCCTTACATACAGAGATTTCTCCAGATTCTCTGAGTCTTTTAATGTTATTATGTACTGTAGATGATGAAAAGCAAAAGTTCTTTGCTATTTTACGTTGAGAACCGTTATTCTTGAATTGTTACACTATTTGATCGTGCAGTCTTTCACAGAGTGGTGAACCCCTCCTCATCTTTACTTCTGAAAGACTCCGCCTCTCTGAAATGCTCTTTAATACCCAATCATGTTACTGACTTGTTGCCAATTAACTACCAGGTGTTTTTTTAGCATGACACAACTTTACCAGCCTTTTGTTCCCCTGTCCCGACTTTTTTAGAACGTGTTGTTGGCATAAAATTCAAAATGGGCAAAAATTTTTCAAAACACAATAAAATTTCAGTTTCAACATTTGATATGTTGTGTTTGAAGCATTTTCAATAAAATATAGGGTTTAAATCATTTGCACATCATTGCATTTTGTTTTTATTTGCATTTTGCACAACATCCCAACTTTTTTGGGGTTGTAGATTTGCTAGATTGAAGGTGCAGTAAGATCCGAGTGACTCTGTTGGTGTGGATGAGGGGTGGATTGTCCATGGATCATCATGATGATGACTCAGAGGTGCAGTGACAGGCCTATAGACTGATACACCAGCACTACTGGCTGTTTGGCAGCCTGATGGCCTGGGGGAAGAAACCGGCTTGGAACCGGCTGGTTCTGGACTTCATACTTCTGAACCTCCTCCCGCTCAGCAGCTGTGAGAACAGACAGTGGCTTGGATGGGTGGAGTCCTTTAGAAACCTCCTGGTCTTCCTCAGGCAGCGTTGTATAAATCCATTCAAGTCATCTGGTGAGAATTCTGGTATTTTTTCATCTTCAATATATATTGCAGAAAAAAATGTTGAAATTTCTGTTTTTCCAACATCATTCAGCCCTAAAAACAAACGATTTTTTTCCAATTTTGAAAAACTCTTCATCTGGCCCTCACTCATCTTGAGAAAAAGGACACTTATGTCAGAATGCTGTTCATAGACGTCAGCATTCAACACCATCATCCCTCAGCAGCTGATTGGAAAACTGAGCCTGCTGGGCCTGAACACCTCCCTCTGTAACTGGATCCTGGACTTTCTTACTGAGAGACCTCAGTCAGTCCAGATTGGGAGCAGCATCGCTAACACCATCACACTGAGCACTGGAGCCACTGCTGTTCACTTTACTGACTCACGACTGTGCAGCAGCTCACAGTTCCAACCACATCATACAGTTTGCTGATATCACTACTGTGGTTGGTCTCATCAGCAAGAACGATGAGTCAGCATACAGAGAGGAAATGCGGTGACTGACAGACTGGTGTAAAGTCAACAACCTACATCTGAATGTGGACAAAACAAAGGAGAAGGTTGTTGACTTCAAGAGAGCACAGAGTGACCACTCTCCACTCACTATCAACAACTCCCCTGTGGAGATCGTTGCGAGAACCAAGTTCCTTGGTGTTCATCTAGCGGAGAACCTCACCTGGTTCCTGAACACCAGCTTCATAACCAAGAAAGCCCAGCAGCGTCTCTATTCCCTGCGGAAGTTAAGGAAAGCTCATCTCCCACCCGTCATCCTTACCACCTTCTACAGAGGCACCATAGAGAGCATCCTCAGCAGCTGCATTACAGCCCGGTTTGGGAATTGCACCACCCCCAACCGCAAGACCCTCCAGCGAATAGTGAGGACAACTGAAAAATCATTGGGGTCTTTCTCCCCTCCATCACAGACATTTACACCACACGCTGCATCCGAAAAGCCACTAGCGTTGTGACTGACTGACCCCACACACCCCTCACATGAACTGTTCTCTCCTCTGCCAGCTGGAAGAAGGTACCGCAGCAATCGGGCCGTCACAGCCAGACTGGGCAACAGTGTCTTTCGAGAAGCCATCAGATTCCTCAACTCCCACGGACCCACACACACATATACATAACCCCCACACAGACCCACACACACATATACATAACTCCCACACGGACCCACACACACATATACATAACTCCCACACGGACCCACACACACATATACATAACACTCCCACGGACCCACACACACATATACATAACACTCCCACGGGCCCACACACACATATACATAACTCCCACACGGACCCACACACACATATACATAACACTTCTTGCAGTTCCAAATCATGAACACTGTATTTAAATATAGTTATTGCATTTCACAGAAACACTTCACATAATATAATTGTAGATCTGAATACTTGCATTTTGCACATTTTACTTCACTTGACTTGCTGCTAGAATTACTGTTTCAACCAAATACTCTATGCTGTATATTGCTGTTCTGATTGCTACCTCAGTGACTGCTATGCTCATATATGCTAGGCTCTCTTCTAAGCTGCTAATATGTCATAGTATGTAGCTCTGCGTTGCACAGCTCCACATACTCTCAGTACCGTGTACTGCCTGTGTTCTGTTTTGTATTTACTGTAAGTCTTTCGTATTTATTTACTGTACTGTACTTGTGTTCCTGTGTTGGTCCTGGAGGAATGTTGTTTCATTTCACTGTGTACTTGTATGTAGCTGAAATGACAAAAAAGCCTGACTTGACTTGACTTGATGGGATGGCAAAAAGCATTATAAGTGACTTCAGTCACCAGGAGCTGAACTTTTACTATTTGTTTGTTTGTTTATTCTATTTTTTTTTTACAGAAATACTGTCATATATGGTATACCCTGGTAAAATTCTAGGAAGGGATGGAGGTACGAAAAAATGCTTTCTCTTGGACAAATCCTACGCAGCTATGGGATATCTTACAACCGCTATGCAGACGATACTCAGATCTACTTGGTCCAGTCCACAAACAACTATGCTTTCCTCGACTCGCTTTGTAAGTGCTGTTACACCTGGTCATTTCGTACGTCAAGTATCAGGATTATATCTTTTGACAAGCAACTGTACAACCAAAACTCTTGCCCATGCAGTACGTCACTGGACACGTGATCCATGATCCGCGATCAAGATAATCATGGAGGATTTACATGGTCGGGACCTGATGAAACAACAGACATGGATATGGACAGACACTACCGTGCAAAACAACCTGCAGACAACATAATAAACAGTTGTAACTGGTTGCAGCGTAACGAGCGGATTTGCTTGTTCCATCCTGCACAGCAATCGCATTTCAGTCCGACTAACTGGAGATGCATTTCACTGCCAAGTGTAAATGCATGTGAATAAAATCTTATCAGGATACAATCCAGATACTGGACACATGATGTGACCAGGTGTAAACGGGGTCATAGACTCTCGCTGGACAGGTGGAAAGTGGTCTGTCCTCAGTGGAAAGTGCTTTGACTATAAAAGATGTGTGATGGAATTCCCCACCACCACTGTGTGAATTGGTAGCAGGTTGAAGGTCATTAGAGAGGTCAGCCTGTCATGTAATCATTTTAAATTCCTCAGTGGTCATATAAATACACCCTACTTATTACAATGAATTTCTTTTGCTTGTTTCCTGAGCTGGGATTGACTGACTCTCCGATTCTCCAACAATAAAACTCTGCAGCATGTGCATCCAGCCTGACCTCATTTATTACAGCGTGATTCTTAGTTTTAGTTCTTAGTGCGTTTGGTGTACGCCTGCATTAAATTAGCTGAAAAATAAAATATGGGGAAATCAAAATAACGTAAAGGATCTGTGAGACAAACTGTACTCAGATAAGCGATTCTCTGAAACAAACCAGTGTGGCTTTTTCTGAAGCCACCAACAGCACAAAACAGCCTGCTTGCAGTAAATCAAGCAGCATCTAAAGAAACATCAGCACATCTGTAATAAAGTAATTTAGAGTGATCAAACAAAATTTACCTTCTGTTTGGAGAGGAGTCAGAATGTACCGTCTACCATGAAGCACGGAGGAGGATCTCTGCTGTGGTGGTGCAAGAGCTGTAAAAGAAGTGTAGTTGAAATGGAAAGCAAAACAGCTGTTTTATTGTTAACCACAGCAGCCCCTGAAGCTTTGGGTGGATACTTCCTCTCCTCCTAGATTTTCCACAATAAACTGTGAGTGGTGTTATTGAAAAGTGGAAGTGTTTAGGAATCACAGCAACTCAGTCACAAAGAGTCGGACCACGTAAAGTTACAGAGCGGGTCGCTGAGTGCTGAGAAGCATAGAGCATAAAAGTCTCCAACGCTCTGCTGATCAATAACTGCAGAGTTCAAACCTCCTCTGGCATCAACATCAGCACTAAAACTAGTTTTATCCACCCACAGTTTCTGGTTGGGAAACGTGTTTTCGGTGATTTTTGGGACCGTCTCGTGTACCAGTTTCCCAATGACACACAATTGCTTCCCTAACACGTTGATGTCCTCAGAGCTGCGCCGGAACGTGTCTCAGTCTGCGTCATCAAGAGCGTCCTGCAGGACGGCCACTGATTGGTCCGTCCAGCATAGGACCTCCCTCTGAACTGAAGCTTCCCATTTCAGCTTTTGTTTAGATTTTTTTGTTTTGTTTAGGCATGAACACCACTCAATCCCGTCCCAGGGGGGTCTGATGCGGCCGGCGCTCCGTCCTGTGTGGTGCTGTCCCTTTGTCTGCCATGACTGGATGGGCTGCTCGCGTGCATCGTAGAGCCTTGTGCTATTTGGATCCTTGTGTGGTCTTCACTGTACAAAGGCCTCTTAACTCCATACCCAACACTGTACAGAACTGTAAAACTGTATCCTCTTATACTGTTTTGTGTCTGTGCTGTTATCCGGTGTCGACCAGAGGAGGATGGGTTCCCCTATTTGAGTCTGGTTCCTCTCGAGGTTTCTTCCTCCTGTTGAGGGAGATTTTTCTTGCCACTGTCGCCAAGGCTTGCTCACTCTTGGCGTGGACCCAGATTCTCTGTAAATCTGCTTTGTAACAACATCTGTTGTAAAAGGCGCTATATAAATAAATTTGACTTGACTTGATGAGGAAGATGGCGGCATGGTCCGACTTTCCAAACCCAGGATGTAACTGTGCTTTATAACTGTTTTTAAAAGGAGTATAGCAATTGTCCAGAGTTCTGTTCACCTGGTGGGGGGGGGGTGAAGTGCTGGTGAAAGTTACTGCACGCTTGAGGTTGGCGCTGTTGAAATCCCCAACCACAATGAACGAAGCTTCTCGTTGCATACACTCCGCCTCCCCTTGACTTTGGGATGAACTTGAATGGAGATTGCGAGCCAGGCCCTCTCATCCAACAACCAGGGGTGTAAAAAGTACTGAAAACCCTACTTAAGTACAAGTTCTGTTACTGTTACTGTTGTGATAATTTACTCACGTACAAGTAAAGTATTAGTAGATAAAATTACTCAACTATAACTATTCTCCATATATACTCTACGTAAGCTGTACTCTATATGTAGCTATACTTTAATTGAAAGAACATCTGGCTTACATGCACTGATATTAATTAGAAATATTTATATTTATGTAAATTAAGGCTGGGCAGGATGACAGTATATGTCGTTATCATGATAAATTATGCCACAATATGCTTTTCTGAGTATCGTCAGAGCTTACTGCATGTTTGATTAGATAGCATAATTGGTCCTGTTTGATTAGATTCAAATCAAATCAAATCAAATCAGATTTATTGTCACATCACAAGAGTACAGGGACACAGGTGAGTGAAAAACTTGAGTGCGAGTTCCACAAATTATGCAGAGAACAGTATTTACACATAGATAAACAAAACTATAGATAGGATAGAAGAATAGATAAAACCAATTTAACTAAAATATATACATATAATCTTACACAATAACTTAAAAATAATAATATTGCACCGAGACATATAATATTGCACTGGGAATGTAGAGTGAGTGTAATCAACTATATACTATATATAGTAATGGATATTACAATGCTATGTAGATGTGCAAATAATCACACTAGGTGTGGAGGTAGAAGATGGTACAGTAGGTGGCAGAGTATTTAGTAAAGTGCAAGGTACAGGAAGTTAAGTGGAAGCGCAGGGGGAGAGTATTGTCTTTGGATAGGTATTCAAAGTCCAGCTATGCAAGTAAAGTGCGGGAGTACAGTGGGTGCACGTACGTGTAATGGGAAGGGTTGGGCTGGGCAGAGCAGTGATTACTGGCTGTTCAATAGCCTGATTGCATGGGGGAAGAAGCTGTCTTTGAGCCGACTGGTTCTGGCTTTTAAGCTTCTGAGCCTCCTACCACTCGGCAGCTGAGAGAACAGACAGTGACTAGGATGGGAGGGGTCCTTCATAATCCTTCTGGATTTCCTCAGGCAGCGACTGGTGTATAAATCCAATAGGTTAGGGAGCTGAACCCCGGTGATGGACTGTGCTGTCCGCACCACCCTCTGCAGAGATTTCCTCTCACGAACAGTACAGTTACCGTACCAGGTGGTGATGCTGCCCGTCAGGATGCTTTCCACAGTGCAGGTGTAGAAGGTCTTAAGGATGCTGGGGTTCAATTCAGTGCAGTGCAGTGTGTGAAATGTTGAATACAAATCACTGGATTCATAACTGAATAAAGTATGTTTTAAATGCAGCACTGCTTTGGCTGTTCCAACGTATCAGAAAAAATAAACATTGTCACACATCATGTATCATAAAAATCTCTTGAAGTATCGTTAAATTACATTTTCGCCATATCGCCCAGCTATAACATAAACGAAAAGGCCTTGGCTGTAATGATCTCCGCATCAGGTTGTTTTTTTGACCTCCTTAATTCCATCCAGGGCTTTTTGAAGGCCTTGCCCAGTTTTGCTCATTTCCTGAATGAACCTCACTCCTGTGACTGCTTCAGCTGCTCTCACAGTTCTAGACAGGATCTAGATCATTTTCTATCTCTTCCAGGTAATTAACATTAGGAATTGAATTGAATTGCTTTCAGAGTTGCTTCTATTTCCTCTCGTAAGGATTTCTGACAAACCATGTCTGTGATGTTAGATGTTGCTTGTGTTACACCTCCAGCAACTCCAACTCCAAGCCTGCTCCTATCACAACCAAAGATACCCCGCAGTAAACGGAGCCAGGGCAACTCCCACAGTCGAGGTGATTCCTCCAGCTGCTCCAATCACTCCCCCAAGTAGGCTTCCAATGGTGGTGTTCTGATGAGTTTTCTCCGTTACTTATTTCTGTCAGTTTTAGGATTTGAGCTTGGAGATCTGTGATATTGTTGTCGAGGAACGAGATGAGTAATTTTACTTTTTCAGAGAGAAATTCATCGGCCTGGTCATCTGGTGAAACTCCTGTAGGGAACATCAGTGTAATTGGGCATTACTGCATTTCAGAGGACAAATAACTAATAAATATTTCTCTAAATAAAGATGAAAATCTTACGGTGTTCTGAAGAGGGTAGTTGTTTCATGATGTGGTTTGAGACATGACTAATCTTTCCTCTGTCTTCTTTGAATGGGACCATTTTCATTTTAGTAATGTTGTTATTGCAGTTCCTCCTGTTCAGCTGGAGGGTCCGTAACTGAAGTCTCCTTGATGTCCCTTTTGAGAAAAATAGGCTAAAAAGAGAATGCAGTGTCTTCAGTTTTGTGAAAATCCTTACCACAATATTGATTAATTTACCAAATTAAAAATGCACTAAGCAAGTCTTGGAGACCTGAAGACCTGTTGGAAATGTATAACTGCGCACAAGGTGTGGATAAGTGGGTTGTGCGTTGGACCCCTTCCCCAATGCGCATGAATCCGATAAATATGAGCGCGTTGAAGCATAGTATTCAAAGAAAACTCGATCTTCTGAGGATGTGAGTCAATTATCTTCATCAGTACAAGGTTGACTTTGAATTTGGGACCAAAACATCAAGGCCGGGTGGTATTTTTGCACCTGTGAGTCTGATGTTAATACTTTTTTTTCCTTCAGTTTTTCAATCTTACCTCTTACCTAAAGTGCTGCTTTGGTCATTTCATTAGTGACAGATGCCAAAAATAATCAAAATATAGAATTCAGATTTGTGCTGGTTCTTTATCAATGCATTCTTAAACAGGATAGTAAACCTTTGAGAAAAAAGTCATTTTGGAAAAAATGCTCTGTCACCACATCTTATTCAAGGTAATGAGTCACAAACTACTCATGTTGCTGCGGAAAACGGTTTTCTGTCATTTAGAAGTTTGTCTAATGTAAAGCTTATCATACTCACCCTACAGGGGAAGAATAATAAGTATTATTCAGGAAGAGAAGTAGGGATCATTTTGATTGTTTTCTAAACTGTGCATCATTTATATTAAACATTTTCCTGTATTTGTATGCAAAATATTACACAAACATATTTTTACATTTTTAAATTCTTTAACATTTTTCTTAAATAGGCACTCCAGCCATTGTTACATCTGTTGTAAACATGACTACTCTCTGGTTTTAGGACTAGGAAAATCCCCTTCTGTTGAGGTATATTGAAGGTGGGAGGAACTTTTGGAAACTTACAAGCGTTTTGGGGAGAATACTTGGTTGGGCTCTTTTGAATTTATTTTTCATCCCCCACCAGCTGGCCACTGCAGAAGGAAGCTCCATAGTAAATGTTACTGCGAGGAAGCCACATATAATGTCTGTGTTTTTTAGCCTCCAGTGGTACATGAGCAGATTTCTGTATTGCTATGAGGAAATCTCTATAGTTTTAACTTTTTGCCTAATGTATGCTGGGTATTGCGGTAAGAAAGCATTAATGGATAGAAACTCAGGAGGATGTAAAAGGATGAAAAATATGCCCACACACACACACACACGCACACACACACACACACACACACACACACACACTGCTGTCGAAAGAAAACCTCGTATCTCCATTTTTGTCATTTTCCAGATTTTGACATAATTTGAAAATACATGTTACCCTTTACATTGTGTGCAAATTTCATGATGAAAGAAACGGCCCTAAACAACTTGGAAAAAAGTCTGGTTCCATTGACTCTTACATTAAAAGTAAAGTGTGTTTTTTCCTTCTCCTGTAAAGTCACCATTTTAGA